GGGCTTCGTCACTGATCCTGTGGGTACTGCTAACGCCTCGCCCGGGTAGTTCGCCTCGTGCAGCTTGCTGACTGACATAAAGGATCTATTCGGCGTCGGCGATGGCATGATTGAAGTACTCCCCATCAAAGCCTGGTGTGAAACCTTCTGGAGCAAGCTGGTGAAGAGGGTGTCGATTCGATGTTCGACTTGATGCGCATCGAACCGCACCTGGTCGCTGTGCATGTTGTGCTTCTCCTGCTTGTCTTCCTTGTCGCTCGTCGCCGGGTCGCCGTCGATGGCTTCGTCTTTGTCAACGGGATCCGCGATCGGCAGGACGGGCTCTGATGCTGTTGTCTCTGCCGGCACCGCGCTCGAAGATGTTCGAACGTTCAGAGTTGATCTAACGTCTGGTGGGCTCTGTGAAGCGTCTCTCTTTTCTGCGCATGCGGCCTTGGTGCAATTGGTGATGCTGGTCGACCTGGCAGTGTTTCCTGTCTCACAGTGCGCTTTCCGTCTTGGGCTCTTAGGTTTGTAACACGTGCAAAGTCTCTCGTGCGAGAGTGGTCTAGATCTGACATCGTAGACAATGGTCTTGTTTTTAAGCTTGTCCTGCTCCTGGCATTGCTGTAGCAGCAGGTAGAATTGGCGAGCTTGGCTTACCGTAGTCGATGGTGTCCTCTTGGCTCGCTGCCTCGGCTGCAGGAAGTGTTTCCTCAGCCGCTGCTGGGACAGGAGAGCTAGGCATAGCATCTTTGTCCCACGTCAGCGGCGGCCTCGATGGTCTCGAAGTTTTGCAAGAGGTACTCCTGCCCAGCGCTCTTGATCGTGACCGATCTGCGGACTGCGGTGAAGGGGCCGAGGTCTGCGAGACCTTGATGATGCCCGTGTCAGTCTGGTTGTCAGGGTCGATCGCTTCTGGGTTAGCAGGAGATCGAAAGCCTGCGGCAACATGCGGCACTGCAATACCACTAGCTCCGCCTCGTGGAGGTGGATGTGATCGCGCTTCTCAGGCAGCCAGCGGTGTGACGTCGAACCAGACGTTTGGTGGCAATGCCCTGCGCCTCGGAGGTGGCGTCTTGGGAGGCGTCTTGGGGACCGCTCGTGCTGCAGGTGTTGCTGGTAGTACTGCTTCTGCCCGCCGAGATATAGGTGCTGTTATTGGTTGAGGTGCTTGTTGCGGCTTCGCGGCTTCGCGGGCTCGATATTGCTGATCGGGTGGCGGCGCCTTAACTGGTGTGGAAGGAGCTCCGCGAGGTGGTTCTCCAAGGCCACCTGGTTGCCGATCGTCATCGTTGCCTTCTAGCCACGAGCTGCCGTATGATGTCCATCATGCCAGTATCGGCGGAAGCGTCAACGGTGCGAGATCGAACACAGAAAATTTCACGTACACAACACGCGTGTGAGGGCTGCACGTGCACGGTGCATTATCGATGGTTGTGTGTTTGTTGTTCATCATCGAGAACAAAAGGCACCCTGGCATTGATAACACGATCAAGACGTGGCCTCTCTTAGCTCATCATCTTCGCATTCGGGATGATAAGTCTGGGCGGTTGGGTCTGATACCTATTCAGAGAACCCCCCCATCCCCACGGTGTTTGGCCCTCCTAACTTGGGGCCCCTCCCGGAGGGTTAGGGGTATTTCTTATGTCTGTCAGTTTACGTGCAACCTCTCGTTTTGCATACGTTTAAAGCTTACATGCAATTGACCGTTGTTGCGCAAGTGGCTCTCGAAAGTGCAACACAGCCGAGAACGGCGCACTATGTCCGACTGCACGTAAGCGGTGCGAGATCGAACACGGAACACATCACGTAAACGTTACATATGTGAGGTTTGCACGTAGACGGTACGTTATTGATGAATGTGTTGCACCGTTTACGTGCAACTTCTCGTGTTCCACAATTGCTAGTTTACATGCAATCGACCGTTGCTGCGCCAACTCACGCCGTACATGTACACCCCTGCTTCCCTCAGAACACGCCCCGCACGCACGCCCTGCACCCCCCCCGCTCGTCCCCCCAGAACACGTTCCGCACGCACGCCGTACACCCGCCCCGCCCCGCCCGCCTAGCACACGCCCTGCACGCACGCTAGCACGCACGCACACGGACGAACACACAGCCGAACGCACAGGCAGACGGGCACACACAGGCACACGCACGCACGCACACGCGCACACACACAGACACGCACACACAGGCGCGCGCGCACACACACACGCACGCACGCACGCACGCACGCACGCACGCACACGCACGCACGCACGCACGCACGCACGCACACACACACACACACACACACACACACACACACACACACACACACACACACACACACACACACACACACACACACACACACACACACACACACACACGCGCACACACGCACACACGCACACACGCACACGCGCACACGCGCACACGCGCACACGCGCACACGCGCACACGCACACGCACACGCACACGCGCACGCGCACGCGCACACACACACACGCGCGCACATACGCATACATACACGCACATACGCACACCCATACACAGGCCACGCACCACGCACCACAGCTGACCAAAACAACCGCTGGCACCCACTAAGCCCAAGCTAGAAGCGGCAACCATCTGGGCATCTCGGGGATCCCAGTGGTTGCACCCCGTGTGCGCACATGCTTGTTGGGTGTAATTCCGTGCGCTCGTGCGCACGCAAACTCAGAGACGCGGCGCTTTCCGCTCGTGTCTGGATAAGTTCTTTGTTTTCGGCTCTCACTCGAGACACCCTCGAACCAATACGATGTCCAGGACGTTGTTTTATATGTGTTTAAACATTGAGATGTTGAGATCAGTCGCGAAACCGTCCGAGTACTCAGGAATGGCCGTCTCGCTCGAGACATCCTTGAAACAATGATTTGTTGAAGGAGCTGTCGTTAAGACGCTTCATGTTGAACATGAGGCTCTCGCTCGAGACACCCCCAACAAGAACGAGATACTGAGATCGCTCGCGAAATTAACCGAACTCTGAGGAATGGAGTCCAAGAGTACCCTTTTGGCCCCGAGGACCTCAGCAGGCCCCCAAGAGACCCCCAGGATGTCCCAAGATAGCCCCAGACAGCCCCAACGGCCCCAAGGGTAGCCTCCTTCGTTAGCGTCCTTTTCCTCTGGCTTCTTACCTTCCTCCTTCGCCATCTTCGTAGTCCTTCTTTCTCTTCGTCTCCTCCGCTTCGTTCCTTCTTGTACTCGTCCTCCTCCTTCTCTTCCTCCTCGTCCTCGCGCTTGTCTTTCTACTCGTTGTCCGTCTGCTCTCCACGCTGCCCTCCCCGTCATCCACGCTGTCATTCTTGTCATCCGCTGCCTTGTCGTCGCCATGATCCCATTTTTCTGTTCCCCCTTCGAGCCCAATCTACAAAATTGGCGCTTCCCGTTCTTGCACGGTCAGATTTGGCTCGCTTTCTTTGTTTCCGTCTCCCGCTGAGAGACCGACCGAAGCGGTGCATTTGAGCATTCAACCCCAAGGCAGGAGCTTCCCAAGACATCCCGATTCGCAGAGGAGCTGGGTGGTTTGGGTCATTCATGCACTTACAGGCTTCCAACATAGGGTCCGAGAAGATGGCGTTGGAGGATCGCGCAGCATCGCCGATGCATCGGCGATGCGGTTCGATGCGGAGCCCTAACTTCTCCACGCCGACGGCGCCGATGCATTGCCGATGTCGCTGATGCATTGCCCGTGCATCGCCGATGCATCGGTGATGCGGCGCGATCTTCCGACCCAATGTTCATTGGTCCGAAAGATACCCGTATCCGGGGCCAGCCAAGGTGAGATGGGCCGTCCGGGGGACAGGGCGCTTGCTACTGTGCCCGGTTAGCTTGCCCCGCGCGCGCCAGTGCAGCATCCGCGCGTCAAGACGCAACGGCGCGCTCGATGGTTGGGTGTCTGATTGCAGCGACAAGCGCTGGTTTTTGTCAGGGACGTTTCGGGGCATCGTGGTGCGTGCTCGGTTCAAAGCCGCCCATATGTGGCGGCGCCTGTCCCAATCGATAAAGAGTTGCATTTCTTCGTTATCCTGGCAACCAATGCGTCTGGGCCTGCCCTGAGGAACGACGTTGCAATGTCGCGCCCCCAGGGGGCCGCAGCGGCCATGTCGGGGACGGCTCTGGAGGGCATGATATGTGCTCGAGAGCGTTTTGGGCCTGCCGCCACCTCGGCTAGGTACGGGGACCTGCCCGAAACCAACGAAACATACCAAGACCTGGCTGGGGTGAGCTGCGGCACCCCGGCTAGGTACGGGTATGTTTTTGGGGTTTTCATGGGGCAACCGTGCCTAGCTGGGGTGATCCGCGGACGGCCGTCCAAGGGGGGCGGCCTCTGGCGACCTCGCCCAGGGCACAGATTCGCGATGTCTCTGCATCGAGCAATTCGCGATAGGGCGGTTGTCGCGCAATGGCGTTCGCGCCAGAGTTGTTCGCGTGCGCCCCCGAGTGCGCGTTCATTCCTCAACGCCCGGATGTGTGTCTGGGGGCGCGCCTCCGCAGCAGCTGGTCTACATCGACAACAACCAACGCAGGGTCGGGCACTCCGCCGATTCGAACGCACGTGCGATCGGTGCTAACGTGCGCCCCGGGAAGACAGCGGTTTGTAATGCTCGATCGGCTGTCGTTTCTACACTTGTGCAGCCGCCGTCAGCTGCGACGAACCGCCCCCCCGGCCCCTTGCCACCCTGTCTAGGTAAGGGTACGGGTATCTTTCGCGCTCGAGAAATGCGGTCGGCCTTTCGCATTGTCTAGGTCGAATTTGATAACGGGCTCTCCTTCGCCCGCAGCGGTAGCAACAGAGCCATCTATCCAACATGTTGGTATGTTGTTTTTGTACCGTTCTAGGTCCAGCTTGTCACTCTGAGTTCAGATCAAAGGGCGGTGTGCAGGAGAAGCGTACCCACGCATACACAATACGTGGTGAAGTGTATAAGCAGACTTGCAGCGCGCAGCTTGCGAGTGCCTTCAGTCCGCACGCGCCCAACGCTGCCAGCCAGGTGAGGAGTTGGCCGGGCTCACTTCGTGCTGGAAGCCCTACCGTGGGATTGACCTCAGTGCTGTCATGGAGCTCCAGGACACATCGTCGTGCCTTTGGACCAAGGTGACACCTCCTCTCCCTCCTCCTCTACTCCTCTTCTGCTTCATACTGGTTCAGTTGCTTTATGATTTTGCCATCTGCAGGAGCACCAGGGGCCTGGGCCCTCGGCTGGGACATCTCCAGCATTCACCCCGCTGGCTCTCATTCTCAAAACTGAAGCTCAGACGGCGATGTGACCATACTGTACAAATACCACGAAACAGTATAAACAGGAACATTCAACACATCGAACAAATAATTAAAACTGAAAGTTCAACCGCTGAGAGATTCCCATGACATTCCGCGAACACTTACCGCTTAAGCAGTCCAATTGTGCATGGTACCCAGGTGGGCATGACAGACATGTGAAATCGAAAGCTCGGTACTCCAAAGAACTGACAGCGAACCATTCGATACATAAACGCCATTCAGCTTAAACATACGTGTGAATATTCAAGTACTACCAAACATAAGCTTGAGCATCCTGTGTCAGCAGAACGTTGGAGCCGGACGTTCCAGATCAAATGATAACTTCATTCATAAATTCGTTGTTGACGCTAGTACCGAAATCCAATGCCAAACAACATAAAACAGACGCTTACATTTGTTCAACGTTCAGGTGAAGGTGCAGGCTGGAAACACCTTCCACTTTGAAAGTTCAAGTTCCAGGAGCACGTTGAACCTAAACGCCCAATGCAATTACGAAGCCGAACGTATCAGTTCCTTGTTTGAGTACTGAAAAATGGGCACGGTGGCAATGGATATGTACACTGTCAAGCCCTGCGGTTTTTAGTAGAAAACATATTGAAGTCGATTGCGCAATCATTAAAGGTTGACGTGTGCGCGGACGTTCATGACAACAATTGGCCAGGCTGCAGAAACCTCGGAGCAGTGAACCGATATTCTAAGGGTCCCAACGGATTCCTTTTACTCCCCTACCTTACCCCCCCACACCCACCACAACACATTCCCTACCGCTTAATCCCCATACCCCATACCCCTACCCCGTTCCCCTCCCCCCAGAATGCACAGTACGCCTACCCGAGCCCTTCGATCTTAGGGCCTTCGTCTTCCTCCTCTTCGTCCTTCTCATCGTCGTCGTCGTCCTCCTCCTCCTCCCGCCAGCGCGTGGGGGTGAAGCCCTCGAGCTTGGTGTACCAAGAGCTTTGCGAGCCGTTCCCGCTGCTAGAGGTGGACTTCGGCTCCACGCCCTTCTCGGCCATGCCCAGGAGCACGCGGGGTGGGGCGGGCGGTTGGAGAGCAGCGCGCTGGATGGAACCAGGTGGGGAGGGGGAGACGGAGGAGAAGGAGGGGGTGGGGAGGACAAGCTAGGTGCGCTCGCGCCATATCTGATGTCCTACCCCTCTCTCCCATCCCTTACCATGGCCTATATCGCCTCTTTATTCGCACAGTCGGATGCCGTAGCATGGCATAGCATTACATGGCGTAGCATGGTGTCGAAGATCAACGCGTGGTATGACATAGCATGGCGTGGCGACGCCACTAAGTGGGAAGTGGGGGGGGGCTTCTGCGGCCTAACAAAACAACGAGTCGACACCGAATGTGGAATCAATTTCGATCGTTTTTCGGAGGAGCATGTTCTAGATTTTGGGGCCTATTTAGAAGGACAGAAAACCACGCCGTGACATGGCACTGGATATATTAACGCCAGCGTTGCAGCGGGAGCACGATTCGGAACGAGCGGAAGCGGAAATGAGGCCAGCGCTGCAGCGGGAGCACGATTCGGAACGAGCAGAAGCGCGGCAATGAGGCCAGCGCTGCAGCGGAAGCACGATTCGGATCGAGCGGAAGCTCGAAAATGAGACCACCGTGTAAGAAAACAGTACGTGGAGGGGGGCCGAACATCTTCCGGTCGTCATCATTAGGTGAGTATTATTCAGGTTGTCTAAGTGTTAATGATGACCGCGGATGGGCAGGCCGTACATTATGATGATTGCGGTGGAGATGAAACCAGAACGGTGGAGGAAGGGGATGATGTTGTTGTTGATGATGCTGGTGATGATGCTGCAGATGATGATCATGGTGGTGATGGTGAAGGTGATGGTGAAGGTGATGAGTCATCCTCTATTCTCGATCCTCGATGCGATGTGGGTTGTGGTGATGGTTGTGATGGTGGTGGTGGTCTTCCATCATGATGGTTGATGGTGGTGGTAGTTGTGATTATGATGACGAGGAGGAGGAGGAGGAGGAGGCGGAAGGAATCATGAGAACCAGCAGCAGACAGCCGGGTGGAGGCAGAGGGGGTGACAGGAGGACGAGGACGAAGATTAGGATTGTGATGATGACGATGCCACTGCGGCTGCTGCTGCTCCTGGTGGTGGTGGTGGTGGTTGTGATGGTGGTGCTGATGATGAGGAGGAGGAGTGTGAGGAGGAGGAGGAGGAGGAGGAGGAGGAGGAGGAGGAGGGGAGGAGGAGGAGGGGGAGGAGGAGGAGCAGCAACAACAGCAGCAGGAGGCTCCCACGCGAGCGCCCGCACGCCCCAACCGGAGGACGGCCGAGAACCGCCCGCGTATGCGCGCTGGTCGAGTCCACGCCGTGCTTGACTTCTGGATCTGCGAGGATGCGCAGGGGCGCCAGCTCTCCACGGACCCGCGCGCTCGTCGGCGCGCCGCCGCCGCCGCCGAAGAGGAGGAGGAGCAGGAGGAGGAGTAGCAGGAAGAGGAGGAGGAGGGGCAGGAGGAGGAGGAGCAGGAGGAGGAGGAGGAGGAGGAAGGGAAGGAGGAGTAGCAGGAGGAAACGATTTCCATTCCATGTCTTCGCAACGTCAAAAAGTAGTCGGAGGAGGAGGAGGAGGATGAGGAGGGTCAGGAGAAGGAGGAGGAGGATGGGAAGGACATGGTATCGGTACCGCCACCCGTCCCTCGTTCTCGCCCTTCTGGGCCTCCTGGGAGGCCCTCGTCGCCACGGCTGGACTCGAATCGAAATTCTGACCAGAACGCACTCCGTGAGAGGTCCTGGTAGAAGCGGTATCGGTGTCTTTTGGTTTCCGAAGGAGGAGGAGGAGGAGGAGGAGGAGGAGGAGGAGGAGGAGGAGGAGGAGGAGGAGGACGAGGAGGAGGAGGAGGAGGAGGAGGACGAAGATAACGTGTTCGGACGTTCTCGTCGGTTCTCAGCGGTCGTCCAGCCGCGGGATGCGCTTCAGCAGCTGCGCCTCGCGGAGGGCGTTCCAGGGGTGCCCGGATCGTCCCGAACGGCCGCCGGGGACTCGAATTTTGGCCCGAGCCATGGCCCGATAGTTCCTCCCTTCTCTCTCTCTCTCTTTCTACATCCTCTACCCGCCGCTTTCTCTTCCCTCCTCTCTTCCTGTCTCGCTTGCCGCTTTTTGTTCCTCGTGTGTGTGTGTGCGTATCGTCTCGCCTATTCTTTCGGCCTCCTCGCGGCTGTAGCACACGCTCTGGTCAAGCGCGTGCCTGCCGTCCCTCCGCCTATCGCGCAGGGCTTGTGGAGCCATGGCGGTCAGTGGTGTGAGGAGCTGAGAAGAGTTAGGGGGATGCGGGTCAGGTTAGTGAGCCAGCATGGCGGTCGTGTGTCAGTTGGGCCTCCTTCTGTATCATGCCATGTTGATCGATACTCTCCTCATTGTGGCATTCAGCAGTCCTCTGTCTCTCCTCCTATCACTCCCTCCCTCATCGCTCCTCCTTGCTCTTTCCCTCTGTCTTCTCACGATCAGAAAAGCTAATTCGCGACAGGGACAGGCCCATTCGCGACAAGACGAAGCCAGGTCATGACAAAGGAAGCGCCTCCCACTGCCGTTCGCCTCCCACTATCGCGTTCGCCTCCCACTTTTGTTCGCCTTCGTTCGCCTTCCACTTTCGCCTTCGCCTCCCACTTTGGCGTACGCCTTCCACTTTCATTCCCTCGCTCGCCTCCCACCTTCGTGTTCGCATCCCACTTTCGTGCGCTCGGGTTCGCCTCCCACCTGATCCCCTCACAGGATACCTTCGGGTCCACCTGGTCTCCCTCCATGCCGCTTGCATGTCCTTTTGGCTGTTGGAAGAGATTCATGGCCCCTCGGAGGAGTCTGAAGCTCTCTCGGATGTCTTCGATAACGACGATGACGAAAGGCGACGACGACGACAGGCAAAACCGACGACGACGGGCCGACGACGACGGCGAGTCGGAGTATGCGCTCCGCCGGCACTGGGCGATGAAGGCCAGGGCTGCGCCTGCAGCGTCGCAGCACCGAGGGGCCAGCGCGCGCCTGAGCGCAGCCGAGACGGGGCGTCGATCTCCTCCTCCTCGGGCCGTCTCGTCGTTGAGAGCTGCGGCTCTCGCGACGCGAGCATGGTGTGGCGCGTTCTTGGAAGGGTCTCGCCTTCGGCGGTCGCCAGCAGAGGCCAGCGGGAGTGGAACGGCGGCGGGCCCGCTGGTGCTGCGGATGTGACAAGGCGCGACGCCAGAAATTTGGGGGTCCAGGGTCTCTGGGATCGGAGTCGGCCAAGTGGAAGGAGGAGGGGCGAAGCAGGGGGCGGGAGCAGACGTGGGCGAGCCGTCCGTGCTCCTTTCCGTCTCGGCTACTCTCTGTCCCGCTTGCCCCCCCCCCCCCCCCCCCCCACCGCCTCCTCTCCGCGCTCCTCCCGCTCCTCCCCGCCCCCTACCCGCTCTGCTCCACCAACGCCCTCCCTCGAGGCCCCCGCCGCCCCTCCCAGCCTCCATCGCCTCCCGCGCAGCACCCTGCCCGCCCATCGGCCCGCTCCCAGCCCCTTCCGCCGCCTCCTCCTCCTCCTCCTCCTCGCTCTCCTCCTCTTCTCTTTCTTTTTCTCTTTCTCATTATTATACTTCCTCTTTTTCTTCTTCTTCTTCTTCTTCTTCTTCTTCTTCTTTTTCGTCTGTTTCCTCCTCCTGCTGCTCATCCTCGTAATGCCTAAGGCCACGACGCTCCCAGGACCCGAGAGGCCCCGCAGAACCCACCAGGACGTAATAGAACAGCCCTCATCCTCTTGAGGGGCTCGCGCGGCGCCCCCCCGCACCCCCCCCAAGCCGGAGGTGCGAGTCATGGGCCTACGCGCGGGACGTTGCCTGGGGCAATGGCTTCCAGGATGCCTGCGCTCGCACCTTCCTGCACAGCGAAGGGTGGCTTGCACGCGTGCTGTGGAGTGTGCGGTAGGTTCGCGTCGTGTCGACGCGGCGGCGGCCCTAGTCAGGTGCGAAATAAGGACGTACACGGACATGAATCCACGCTGTTTTCGAAAGTGCGCATCGCCCGAGCGTTCGTATCACGAGGCTGATCTCGCGGACTGGGGAGCCGTGTTCATGCACGTGGTGGGGCGCGTACGTCCTTTGTGGGTTGCCTACCTGGGGCGGTCGTTCAAGGTCGAACGCCGCCGCAGGCCTGGAAGCGCCCTACATCGAACTATCCGTGCCATCCGAGAGCCGCGACCGTTCAAGACTGAACCGAGCCACGCGGCGTCAGGAACCAACGCGCAGGCCCTTACGACAGGAACTTGCCAGTCGGCGTGCGGAACTGGCGCCTCAGTTCCGCTCGCGTGCATGCTATTTGAGGCAGCTCGGTGGCGTCACGTTTGCGTCGCCGAGTTTGCCATCGTGCTGCTGTACCCGCTCCCCCCTCCTTCCCCTCGAACTTGCGCAAGAGAACGTGGCAAGAGCCTGTCATACGCCTGCAGGGAGCCGGGGGGGGGCGGGATAGGGGGAGGAGTGCGGGTCGGGGGTGGGTCCGCCATGCGCCGAAAAGAGATCGTCGCTCGGCTGCCTTGAGTCGTGCTCAAGCGCCCCGAGCCGCGCTCGAGCGCCCCGGGCCTTGGGCCCGCCCGTGGCGGTAGGGGGAAGGGGGACCTGCTAGCATGAGGGTGCAAGATGGGATGGGATAAGGAGAATCTCGTGTGAAATAAGGGGGTGGGATAGGCGAACGGGGGGAGCAGGGGATGGGATGGGGACGGGGGGGCGGAAGGGGCTTGGCAGGGGAAGATCGTAGATCGCCGTCTCCAGTTGTCCAGCAGTTCTTATGAACCAGGCTGGTCGTAATTGCACGGGTGTGCTTGCCGAGATGTTCAGAGATCCAGAGATCATCGAGAACAACAGAACCCCTAACCCCAAACACACGATGAAGAGGTGGTCTCACTCATTCTCCCCGTCTTCGCATTCCACCACCACCACTGAGCCATGCATCCGGCAGGACGCGTGGGCGGAAGAGTGCACGACTTTCCTCGGATAAATCATAACAACTGCGATAATGCGGCACGCCATGGAAACGGTAAATGTGTGGCGGGGCCTCGGCTGAGAATCGGGGTTGCGACAATTCGGCCGCATTTCCCAAGGACGCGCCGTTACGACAAAGTCTGCTCGTGGAAAACACGCTTGCGACACTTCGGCTGCATTTCCACAAGGCGGGGCTGTTACGACAGAATACGCCTGTTCTGCTGAAAGCGAGGCAGGCAAATAAGCACAACAATGTCTGAGAAGCGCGAAAAGAGGACGAGACACGGCGAGAGGGAGGGGGGGGAAGGAGAACAGGGGCAGGAGGAGGAGAGAGGGGGAGATACTGCCCAAAGCTACAACATCTCATACACAGATGTGGCCCATCGCTGCCGCGGCCGCCCGCGCTTCCTCTGGGAGGCCCAATGTCTGGGAGAGCCGTCGTCGTTACAGAGTAGTGATTTCGTGACAGAAGAACCACCTCCATTCGCGATCTTGGTGTACAGTGCCATATGCTTCTCACGTAGTGTGACAGAACGCGGCTTCGCTCCAGCCTTTTCCAGCACGGCGGCGTTGGTGACCCTGGAGATGTACGACGGCGGAATACCCAATATCTTCCGTGTAAAATTGCAATGAATGGCATCTAATCTTGCTCTCTCGGCTGAGGAGTCCTACATAATCCAAATACTATACAACCTTATCAAAACGCATGCGGCATGAATCTTGTATTTTCTCTTCCAGCCAATGGCGCCGTGAGACCATAATTTGTGCAGCTGCTCGAAAATGCTCGCTCCTTCGCCCAACCCCCGAGACAACTCACTCCCAGCTTTCCCGTCGCAAGATACTAGCCCTCCCAAGTAGACGGCTTCCCTGACGGATGTGATGCTTTCGCCCGTGGGTCTCGTTACTTCACTCGTTGACGATACTCTCAACTGCACTGTCTAATCCCAATGAGGTTCCATGCCATACTTGCGACCCTCAGTGACAATGGATTCAAGCATGAGCTGCAAATTACCCGAGAATTGCGACGCCAAGAGAGTGTCGTCTGCGTACAAAATGTCCCTGGTGATAACATCGTCGGGTTCTGGTTGTAGTTGTAGCGAATCCAAGGCGTCGTGCAGCATCACGGTCTGAACAGCGCTGAACTGGTAGGGGCTGAGGGGGCAACCCGAGAGCGATTCGCATTTGGGAACATAAATCTGGGTGGCTTGGTTTGATATATCTGCAGACAAGATTCCTCCCTTAGCCCTAATTCTTTGGCCCTCCTAAAGTAGGTCCCCTCCCAAAGGGTCAGGGGCACTTTCATTACTCATCAGGCGATGCGCTTCCCTGAAGCTGTAACAACTCCAGCAGTCCGAAGGACGGAGGACTTGTGGTTTCCCAAATGCGGCTCTCGCCTTGGCGCCGCGCGCATTCTTGCGGCAAATGTTGAATACAAGGGCGGAATGCCAATGGTTTCCAAGATGCGGCTCTCGCCCTAGCGCCGCGCACGGTTGTTTCACAAGACAAGTGTTCTAGCATATACAAGGCTGGAGGGGCATTGTTTTCAAAATGCGGCTCTCGCCTCCAGCCCGCGCACATTCGGCTCGCAAGTTCCCAGTACAAGGATGGGAGGCTGGTGGTTTCCAGGATGCGGCTTTCGCTTCAACGCCGCGCTCATAAGTTCAACCCAACACACGTTCCCAAACATCTGCAAGGATGGCGGGATTGTGGTTTCCAAAATGCGGTTCCCGCCTCAGGGCCGCAATTATTTGTTGTAAAAGCTTCGAACAGCTACAAGGATAGAGGCAGGTCCGATCTCAACATTGGTCCCTGTCTCTCTCTCTCTCTCTCTCTCTCTCCCTTTCTTAAGACACCTTATGATGCCATGCCTCGAAATTCCACACTGTGTGGCAGTGACACAGGTGGCAGTGACACCGATGGCTCGAAACAGGGTGTTCGATCGGGACTGCCTCATAGGGTTGAAGCGTTGACATTGTGCCACACGCGCACGGATGAAGTGTAGGTCATTGTCACAGCGGGCCTATCGTTGGACATTTTTCGGGACGTTCCATTTATGCGTCGTTGTGTTGGTTTTGTCTAATTTGAAGGATGGGGTGTGGATCACGTAGCCCGGCCGGCCACCATAGTGCGCTTGCGTTGCGATGATCGCCCCCCTGAGGGGCAGCGAATTTGGTGACGTAATCCCGACCGGCCACTCTAGAGCGCCTCCGTTGCGATGATGGCCCCCTTGAGGGGCGCTGGATCGTTCGGTGCCCGTCTCCACCCTCAGGGGGGAGGTAGGGCGGGGGAGCAGTGGGAGGAGGAGGGAGAGGAGGAGGAGGAGGAGGAGGGGGAGGGGGAGGAGAACAAGCTAGGTACGCTCGCGTCATATCTGACATCCTACCCCTCCCTCCCATCCCTTACCATGGCGCAGATCCCCTCTCTACTCGCACAGTCGGATGTCGAGCAGGGCAATGATCCCGAAAGGGTACGCGATGCATTGTAGAGCACGGCATGGCATGGCGTAGAAGAGCACTGCGAAGCGTAGTATCAACCTAGCATTGCATTGCATGCCGTGGCATGGCACGGGAAATGACGCCAGCGCTGCAGCGGGAGCACGAGTCGAAACGAGCGGAAGCGCGGAAATGAGGCCAACGCTGCAGCGGGAGGACGAGAACGAGCGGAAGCACGCCGGAATCGGCCTGGCAGGCTTCCCGGGCGCCAGAAGCAGAAATTCAGCATTTTCAAAAGAGAAATGTGTATTGGAATGGCTTTCTCGGAACTCTATTTTCCGGCGCCGGCCGGAACAGGCTCCGGACCTGGCCCGGGCGCCAGCCCGGGCGCCGGCTCGGGCGTCCGGCCCAGGCGCCGGCTCGGGCGCCGGCCCGGATGTCGGAATCAGCCCGGGAGGCCTCCCGGACGCCAGAAGCAGAAATTCAGCATTTTCACACGAGAAATGTGTATTGGAATTGCCTTTTTTCGGCGCCGCCTCGGAACTCGATTTTCCGGCGGCGGCCGGAAACGGCTCCGGACCCGGCCCGAGCCCCGGCCCGGGCGCCGGCTCGCGTGCAGCCCGGGCGCCGGCGGAAATGATGCCAGCGCTGCAGCGGGAGCATGATTCGGAACGAGCGGGGCCCGAAAATGAGGCCGGCGCCTCAGCGAGAGCAGCATTTTGGAAAAAATGCGAGCGAAAACCCAACTCTGGGGAAACTTGTGTGTAACAAAAACAGTACGCGGGGGGGGGGATACTTTCAAGCCGTCATCAGAGGGGAAGAGGGAGAGTAGTATTCATATTGAGTAATTGTGGAGGAGGAGGAGGAGGAGGAGGAGGAGAAGGAGGAGGAGGAGGAGGAGGAGGAGGGGAGGGGGAGGGAGAGGGGGGGGAGGAGGAGGAGGAGGAGGAGGATGAGGAGAAGGAAGAGGAGGAGGAGGGGGAGGACGCTTTTCTTCAAAAAGACAAGAATGGGGTCGGGATCCTTTACAAAACGGGGTATCGCCCGAGTGGCAGGACCGCCATTCCAGGCAGGTGGGCCTCCCGCAGCGGATGACAGGCCCACCTGCAGGGCCTTCTGAGAAGACGGCTTCGCACGAGCGGGTGCTGCAGCACAGCTGGTCCATCGCGGGCTTGCTCTGGTCCCCCCCCCTCCTCAATCTCCTCCTCGCCGCTCTCCTCGCTCGCCTCCCCCCTTCCCTTGTGCCCCTCCTCTCTCTCTCTCTGCCCCCCTGGTCCTCTCGCTTCCCTCGCCCTTCCTCCACTTCGTGACCCCCTCTTTCTCCTCCACCTCCCCTCCGTTTCCCCCCCCCCTCTCCTCCCGTCTCGCCTCCTCCTCTTCCTCATCCTTCCCCTCCTTTTCCTCCTTCTTCTCCTCCTTCTTCTCCTCCTCATCCTCCCCCCCTCCTCCTCCCTCTCCCGCCAATCATTGTATCGATGCTGTACATTTTAAGTGTTCTTTGTGTTGGTTATTTTCATTATTGTTCCACATCAGCGACGGAAGACAGCTGCGTCGACTGCGCCGACATTGGCGCGTAAGTTGCCCGCGTAAGGTCGCGCGTGAGCGCCCTCGTTGCCAATGTAAAGTGCCACGACGGGTGCTCGCGTAAGCCACCGCGCAGGGTCGCGTTGCCACGTCGCGTGAGACCCGCATCTTTTCGGCGGTTTGTGCTTCTTCTCCTCCGCCTACGTCCATGGCCGCCAACAGCGCCCATCTACTGCCTTCGCATGCCTCTGCTCTGGCCTTCGTGCACAAGTACTTCCTGCTCTAAGCGTGATCCACCGTCCGCGGCTTCTCGCCCCCCTCTCGCGCTCTTTCCGCTCCTGCTGGTGCCCAAGTGGGCCCCGCAGCGCCTCTCGGTTGCCTTGGCCGCGGCTTGGTCCGCAAGCCGCTGCGACAAAAAACACGTGTCTTCTTCCCCGCCTCTCAGAAAAAAACGACAGGGCAAACAGCTCTCCAGCTGGTGGCGGCGGAGCCGGACGCGGACGTCGACAGCGGCGCGGAAGACCCGCGCTGGCGGCGCATCCCTGGGCGCGACGCGCTTCCAGGCAGCGGGGGCGCTGGAGCCTCCTCCGGAGGTCGCTCGTTCATGGAGGAGGGGGAGGGGAAGAAGACAGAGGAGTAGGAGGTGGAGAAGGAAGAGGAGGAAGAGGAGGAAGAGGAGGCGGAGGAGGAGGAGGAGGAGGAGGAGGGACGTGGAGTTAACATTTTTGTACGGTCATGGAGGTTAGCCTGCCCCGGAGTGCGTTTCAGCAGCTGCGCCGAGGAGGAGGAGGAGGAGGAGGAGGAGGAGGAGGAGGAGGAGGAGGAGGATGGACGCAGGGTGTTCGGTCGTTTTTTCCCCACATGTTTCGTGGGGTTCTGGTTTTCTTCCCTGCCGCGCCGCACCCGCGTCTCACACCTCCCCCCTCCCCTTCTCCTTCTCCTTCTCGCACAGCACAGCACAGCACGGCACGGCACGGCACGGCACAGCTCAGCTCAGCTCACCGCACAGCAGCACAGCACAGCACAGCACAGCACAGCATACCACACAGGGCATTCCTTCGACGCCACAGGGGGTGGGGGTGCGCAGAGGGTGGTCCCTCAGCGCGGCCTCTATCCGTGACACGCTCGCAGATCGTGGCAGGCGTGGCACTTTTCGACACCACAGGGGGTGCGCAGAGGGTGGTCCCTCAGCGCTGCCTCTATCCGTGACACGCTCGCAGATCGTGGCAGGAGTGGCATTTTCTCGAAGCCGCAGGGGGTGCGCAGAGGGTGGTCCCTCAGCGCGGCCTCTATCCGTGACACGCTCGCAGATCGTGGCAGGAGTGGCACTTTCTCGACACCACAGGGGGTGCGCAGAGGGTGGTCCCTCAGCGCGGCCTCTATCCGTGACACGCTCGCAGATCGTGGCAGGAGTGGCACTTTCTCGACACCACAGGGGGTGCGCAGAGGGTGGTCCCTCAGCGCGGCCTCTATCCGTGACACGCTCGCAGATCGTGGCAGGAGTGGCACTTTCTCGACACCACAGGGGGTGCGCAGAGGGTGGTCCCTCAGCGCGGCCTCTATCCGTGACACGCTCGCAGATCGTGGCAGGAGTGGCACTTTCTCGACACCACAGGGGGTGCGCAGAGGGTGGTCCCTCAGCGCGGCCTCTATCCGTGACACGCTCGCAGATCGTGGCAGGAGTGGCACTTTCTCGACGCCACAGGGGGTGCGCAGAGGGTGGTCCCTCAGCGCGGCCTCTATCCGTGACACGCTCGCAGATCGTGGCAGGAGTGGCACTTTCTCGACACCACAGGGGGTGCGCAGAGGGTGGTCCCTCAGCGCGGCCTCTATCCGTGACACGCTCGCAGATCGTGGCAGGAGTGGCACTTTCTCGACACCACAGGGGGTGCGCAGAGGGTGGTCCCTCAGCGCGGCCTCTATCCGTGACACGCTCGCAGATCGTGGCAGGAGTGGCACTTTCTCGACACCACAGGGGGTGCGCAGAGGGTGGTCCCTCAGCGCGGCCTCTATCCGTGACACGCTCGCAGATCGTGGCAGGAGTGGCACTTTCTCGACACCACAGGGGGTGCGCAGAGGGTGGTCCCTCAGCGCGGCCTCTATCCGTGACACGCTCGCAGATCGTGGCAGGAGTGGCACTTTCTCGACACAGGGGGTGCGCAGAGGGTGGTCTCACCGCTCGCAGATCGTGGCAGGAGTGGCACTTTCCGACACCACAGGGGGTGCGCAGAGGGTGGTCCCTCAGCGCGGCCTCTATCCGTGACACGCTCGCAGATCGTGGCAGGAGTGGCACTTTCTCGACGCCACAGGGGGTGCGCAGAGGGTGGTCCCTCAGCGCGGCCTCTATCCGTGACACGCTCGCAGATCGTGGCAGGAGTGGCACTGTCTCGACACCACAGGGGGTGCGCAGGGGGTGGTGGTCCCTCAGCGCGGCCTGTATCCGTGACACGCTCGCAGATCGTGGCATGAGTGGCACTTGCTCGACACCACAGGGGGTGCGCAGAGGGTGGTCCCTCAGCGCGGCCTCTATCCGTGACACGCTCGCAGATCTTGGCAGGAGTGGCACTTTCTCGACACCACAGGGGGTGCGCAGAGGGTGGTCCCTCAGCGCGGCCTCTATCCGTGACACGCTCGCAGATCGTGGCAGGAGTGGCACTTTCTCGACACCACAGGAGGTGCGCAGAGGGTGGTCCCTCAGCGCGGCCGCTATGCACGACGGTCGTCCAGGGCATAGCAGGCGTGGCACTTTCTCGACACCATAGAGGCTGCGCAGGGGGTGGTCCCTCACCGCGGCCGCTATGCACGACGGTCGTCCAGGGCATAGCAGGCGCGGCATTTTCTCGACACCACTGGGGGTGCGCAGGGGGTGGTCCCTCACCGCGGCCGCTGGCTGGCTCGAATCTGTCCTCGACGGAGGATAGAAGGCTAGGAAGAGGGAGGAGGTTCAAGCAATATGGCGTTGGATGACACATAGGGGAACATTCGCGACGAGGGCTGAGAACGCAGAATTGCACATCTATTATAACCTTAAGCAAACACTCAATATTTAAGTTAAGTATGTGGGGTTCCTCGGTAGCGTAATTCGTCTGTTCTTGGAGGTTTTCCTGCCTCGGAGTGCGTTTCAGCAGTTGCGCCTCGCCGAGAGGCGTCCAGAGGTGCCCGGATTGCCCCGAACTGCCGCCTGAGACCCGATTTACGACCCGAAGGCCAGGCCCAGACCCGAGGGAGTAGGATAAGGACATTGATGAGGCTTACAGTTGGAGGACGATCAGGACCTTGATAATGACGTTACTAGGAGGAGGAGGAGGAGGAGGAGGAGGAGGAGGAGGAGGAGGAGGAGGAGGAGGAGGAGGAGGAGGAGGAGTGGGAGAGACACATGGGGGAGGATAGGGATAGGTGAAGGAGGGATGAGAAAGTGGAGCTGGATAGGACGGCGGAAGCCAGGGCACACAGGTCCGACCTATTTTTGATGAAGAAGCCACATCAGCAAGCTTGGGCCCCAATCGCCAGCGTGGGACCCAAGCAGTGGGTTACTGCTTTGTGAAGGTGAACCATATGCGGTGTAGGCTATGTGGTATGAGCTGATGAGGTGGAAGCGGTATAAGCGATGTGGTGTAATATATGTCGTGTAAGCGAGGTCGTGCGCACTGGAGGTGGAAGCTATGGAGTGTAAGCTATGGTGTGTAGCACGTGCGGTGTTAGCTATGTGGTGTAAGCTATGTGGTGCACCCTATGCGGTGGAAGCTATGACGCGTAACCTCAGAGCACGGGGCGCCCACGAGGCGGCACGGGCAGCAACGTGCCGCAACCTCGTCATTTCGCCCCCAGCGAGCGGGGCGCCCACGGGGCGGCACAGGCGGCAATGTTGCGCAACCTCGGCGTACCCACCAAGCGCGGGGCGCCCACGAGGCGGTACCGGCCGCAAAGTGGCGAACATCCGGAATACCAACCAATTTCCTGAACGAGTCAGAGTACGGCCCCCCAAGTGCAAGCACTGTTTGGGGAACAGTTTCCCAATGGCTTCTCCGTAGCCTTCCTCAGCCCTCTCTGTTTGCTTCTGCGGGCCCAGACCCCCTCACCCCTCGGTACCCCCCCTCTAGTTCAACTAGAGGGGGCTGACAACGTCTGCACATCAGCAAAGTTGATGTACAGACGCTGTCAGCTTTGGACGACATGCTACGACCCGGCCCATTTGTTTGCAATTCAAGGCTACAGAAATCAATGTAATGATATGTAATGCTGCGCGTTGCTATGTGTTGCTGCCGAGTGCAGTAGACCACTACAGCATGTTATCCCATGCCATGGAATGCTATGTAGTGTTACGACATGGCAATCTATGGTAGGCAGCGCGTTCGCATGTTATGCGATTATATGATGTGACGCGCCACTTTGCGCAATGCATGCGGTTGCAGCCATATCGTGGCATGCTGTGCTATGGCTTACCATCGTATGTTACGGTAGTTGGCGATGCGATGGTGCGGCAAGCAGCGCTATGACATGCAATCACCTGTTGTGTCATGCCATGCTTTGGTATGCGGGTTGCTAACGCTGCGGTGCATTTTGCTGATCCACTACTGCGCGATGCAGCTATGATGTATGGTATGGCAATCAGTTTTGCGATATGAGCTGTTTGTCGTGTGTATGCCTTGCACTGCTTCCTATATGTATGTATGTATGTATATATCTATATATATATATATACGTGTGTGGCTACGCCAAGATATAAGCGGCGATGCCAGGATGTGCGATGGCGTGCTATGATATGCTATAGTATGCGATGTTGTGCTATGCGATATATGGTGTACTAGCCGATCGTGGCATTGCTTCACCAGCTCTTGCCTCATTTGGTTGAGCCAGATTGAGTGACACCCCAACTTGTTGCTTGCGATCCTGGTACCGACCCACGATCATTAGTGGGCCACTCGTCATCCTCAGGTGAAGATGTCCTCGAGTTCTTCGAGTTCCTGTGCCCATGCCTGAACGGCTAGCGGGCGCATGGCTTTCTCAAACCTTTGGCTTAATATCGAAGCTGGACCATTAGGGGCGAAGGGGGGGGAGGGGCGGGGTACTTGGTATAAGGGGCTCGTGTGGGATTTAGCTGGGACGCCCATCCCCTATTAGTTTTAAGAACGCTTCAGCCTTGATCGCTCGTTTTAGCTCGTTCAGTCAACTGCCACCACTTGAGAGATGTCTTCACCATCATCACCATCATAATCACCATGTAGTAGTCCTCCTATCCCCGCAGTGGGTTCCAGGCCTAGGGTTTCACACGAGTAGTTTTTTCACAAAAACAGGGCTCCACACCCACAAGGTTTGGCACATCGGGTTCGCTCCTGTCCGACATCGGCGGCCAGCCCAAGGATGAAGTGAGAGGGCGGGCCTTCTCATAAGGCTCGGAAGTCCTTGGGCCTTCTGAGAAATGTTTTGACCGTGCCCCGAAAACGCAGAGCACTTCTCAGAGGCCTGAGCGCTTCTGAGAAGTCCCGCAGCCTTCTGAGAAGGCCTCTTCCTTCTCACTCCGCCCCCTCGCTCGCCGCCGATAACAGTTAGTGGGTCCACCTGCCCGTGCCATGGTCTCCCAGTGTGATCAAGCCTGAGGCGAAATGCCCAGACCGCCCCACCGACGCACATATTGCCCGCTTCTGGTTGCTGCAGGAGGCGCCCCAGGAGGGATTCCAACCGACCCTGAGATCCGACAGTGCGAAACATTGCAACATCGTGACAAATCACGGCCTCAGCCCTAGATCTCACCTTCCTGGCACATCTTTCGAGCCGGATCGCTCTGCAACTGCCCCGGGGGGGTGCCCGAAGGCAGGCGAGAACCCTCGGCGTGAAGAGCTGCAGCGCCCAGCTCGCAGGGCACCCCAGGGGGCCGATGCTCTTGGGTGCTGCGCTTGGGGGGGGGGGGGGGCCTGGGCTGCGCGTGGGCCCGGCTGCTCGGGGCCGCGGCTCTGCCGAGGGCGCGGTGCCAGGCCCCCGCCCTCGGGCGTGCCTCGCTTCCTGCGCCCGCCCGCTCGGGCCACGCGGTCGGCGCATCGAGGAGGACGTCGGCCTGCGAGCAGGTGCCCCACGCACCTGCCGGATCCCCCCCCCCCCCTGGCCCCAGGGACCCACCGAAGCTCTGGGGCACCTCGGTGCGCTCCGAGATCGACGAAGAGTGTGCCCCGGGCTTCCGTTTGGCCGTCTCTCTTGTCGTATGTGTCTATTGTATCCTGTATCCTAGTGGGCTGACTTCGACAGGTCCGCGCTCCTGTCGTTTCCAGTCCCTCTGCTCGAGGGCCTCGCGTGACCATGACCTGTGCCGGGAGCAGTTGGAGCCGATAGACACGAACCGGACGCGACTAGAGCCGACAAGGGGCACGCTCTGCGCGTTTGGTTCTCGGCCTTGCCGCTCGGCTGCCGCGGCCTTGTGGAGGCCCCGGCCCACTCATGAGCGCCAGCGACCTGCGGCTCGTGAAGTGCGCGTGCGCCTACTACGGGCACGGCGGATTCGTCGTCTGCGGAGACCAGGCGCAGTTCCGCGCCGGGCGCCGGGAGGAGCTGCGGCGGCCACCCAGTGCGCGTCGGCAGGGAGGGGGGAGGGGAGGCGCCCCCGCGAGGACACGGAGATCCAAGACCTTTTTGTGTTCCTGTGGTCGGGGCATGGTTTTCCCTGCTGCATCTCTTGCACATGCGCACTCGGGCGCGATATGTTCATTCCCATCGTAGGAGTGCCAGCCCTCAGTGCCACCGGCCTCCCCGCATGCCAGCCCAGCTTGCCGTGCTGTTCTCCGGCCTGTTTTGTGGTGATGCCATCTGCCGTCCCCTTGTGACGCCATGGATCGATCGACCGATCCTGTCTCATCCCTTCTGCCTCCTGCCTGCCTTCGCTGTCGCCCCTTTGCTGCGCCCCCGAGGGATCCAGCGGAGTGGTGTCCCGGCAGATGAGACATGAGACCTCGCCCTCTCTGCGTGCTGCCAGGTTCGTGTCTGTTTGCTGCGCCCCTGAAGAGGGGTTCCGCTCGCAGATCCATCGGGATGTTGGGCTTCTTTCGGGCTTCTCGTGGACCTCGTCGGGGTCTTGGGATCATCTTCGAGGGCTTGGCTTCCAGCGGTGCGACGGTGCCAGTGGCGGCGTGTGCGAGGGGGCGTTCTGGGGTGGTCATCTCGAGGTGGTCCCGGGAGGCACATTTCCACTCGAAGGTCGCCCCGCCCCCCCCCCCCCTCTCACCCAACAAGAACAGCAAAACAGCAACAACTCGAAGCTCGCCCCTCGCCCTGCGGCCACGTGGGGCCCTCGGTGCTCGTCGGCCCGAGGTGCATCGGTGCAAGACGCCCTCGAGTCGACTGGAAGCCCCCTCCCTCCCTCTCTCTCTCTCTCTTCCCCGCCGTGGGGGATGGGCCCCGGTCGGGCTTGGGGGGGCCCGACGCGGAGGCCCCCTGGGCCAGAGGCGGCGGGGGGGAGGCGATGGCCGCCCCGCCCCCTCCGCCCCCCCCTCCTATCGTGGAGCGGCTGGAGCTCATCCTGTGGCCCGTCCGGCCATCTGTAGGCATCTGGGCCCTCGAGCTTGGGGCCAACCTCGGCACTCTGGCCCCCCTCTCCTTCGTGGAGCGGCTGGAGTTTATCCTGTGGCCCGTCTG